TAATAATAATAATAATAATAATAATAATAAACAAGATATAATAAAATTATTTAACTTATTTAAAAGCCTACGATATAAACTAATTATTTATAATTAATTTTTATTTATTAGGTAACTAAGAATAAATAATACAGAATTAAAATAAAGCATGTTTAAAGAGAGAAAAGAAAGGAAAAAAATATATATATATATATATATATATATATATATATATATATATATATATATATATATATATATGAGACAATATAATAAAAAATGAATTTGCCATAAACTTTTTAATTCAGGTCATTGTGTAATCAAATTCAAATAAGATGAGTTTTCGGTTTTTTTTTTTTTTTTAGTATTAATACCGTAGGAAAGTTGAATATGTAATGTTGTGCATTAAAAAAATTTTAAATAATTACCTGTTCTTAGGTAGTACAAGCATTTGTATACCCAGTCGTCTAATATTAAAAATTTATTACAAAGAAAAAGTTGAAAAAAAAAAAAAAATGGATTTGTTTGAACCACTTTATTTTTTAATTTATTTAATTTTTCAAACGAGGATTTTTAAAACATTTAATTGAACCGGCAAAACTTCTTGCGAGAAACTCCGAGTCGTGTTAGACTGCAAGGCGCTATTTTCTTTTGTTGTTGCATTTATATATATATATATATATATATATAATAAAAAATAATAAACGAATAAATTAACGAATGATTAATAGAGAGAATTATATGCATTTCCTCTATATTAATTTAACAAGGCAGTTAAATATTTTTAAATTTTTATTTATTTGTATATAAATTATCATCGTTAATTTTATTTTTTTCGTGTTTCACACAAAACACACAAGTTTAACATAATAACCCCTACCATCTGTTGTTCCTTGTCTATTTTTTCATTATTCAAATGTTGTTTTTTTATATTTTGCTCCCTTTGTGGTACTTTTTTCTTTTTTTAAAAAAAAGTGTGCCACATGAACCAATATTTTCTATCCTACAAACAGTTATTTTCAATCCCGTTTTAATCCCGTTCAAATTCCTTTGTAGTCCTTTTTTTTTCTCCTCCTCTTTAAACAGGAATTACTCTCGTAATCATTTTAATATATAATATAATTACAATCATTTTGACACAAATATACCTTTATTTATTTTTAATACCGTGAATATGACTATTTCCGTTTTAACAATTGATCGGTTATTATTTTAAACACTTGAACGAATCGATTTCAAAGGTTTTATGTTTTTTTTTCTACTTTAATAGGTATTATATTAAAAAAAAAAAAAAAAAGTCACCATTTTTTTTTTTTTCTGATTAATGATGATTATCGTTTAAATCCGGTTTTCTCTCCTCACCAAATTTTTATTAATATTATTATTATTGTTACGTAGTTAACTAAATAATAAAAAAAAATAATTATTGTTTGCAGCGAGAAATAAACAAATTTAAATAAATAATAATAATTTATTTAAAAAATAAATTTGTTTCCATTATTATTTTTTGTCTTTAATAAAAGTTTTGAATTAAACGTAAAAAAAAAAAAAAAAAAAAAAAAAATGGCGGAAAAACAAATACCATAAATTTGACAAAAGCAAACAATAATTATTTTTGTGTACCAGTTTTCAATGATGAATGAATGAAATGAATCTCGACAACCCGTCGAATGAATTCTTATAATTTAATTGCTTTAAACCAGGTCTTAACAACATTTAAAACATTTTTCTTAAAACCAATAAATTATTATTATTATTATCATTTTAAATTAAATATCTTAGATTTTTTTTTTTTAAATAAAGTATCATCTCAGTGAGCATTAACACAATAAAAAACATAAAATAATAAATAATGAAAAAATTTATTGTTGTTACATTATTTAATATTATAACATCCACTTTTTTTTTTTTTTTTAATTATTATAAAATAATTTATTATTGAAAAGCAATAATAATTTTGTATAAAAGTTTAAATAATAATACAATAATTGTTAAAAAAAAAAAAGTGTCACAAATGTTTATTGTTGTTGTAATTCTAAATAGCAAACAACAAGAAAATGTTAAAAGAGAATAAATTTATATATATATATATATATTACCGGATTTGGCGAACATAAAAACTT